CCTGTCTTCGTCCACAAAATTTGCAATGAAGAACTGATCTAACCTTTCACTGTATGACTGCCAATCATCACCAATGTGGAATTCCGGCACCGTGCCTATTCCAACGCACATGTTCGGTGCCATGTCGAACTGTCTGGTGATTAAACGGTGACTTTATCCGAATTAATCCTCGTAGCCAATTGTAATGTCTGTGACTACCGTAGCGCAAGACATCTCCTTTTATTTCAACTGTACATTAAAATTAAATAAAAAAACAAAAATACAACTTAATTTCTTTTATTGCTTTTCCTTATATATTTTACATTATTAAAACTACGGTCTCAGTCTTTAACATAATTCATCTTTCATAACTGTGTAACGTACCAACCACTTCAACTCAATATTGATGGTATTTTGAATTAAATAACAAGTTGATTTTGTAATGATAGTTCAGTTGTATTTATTTAACACGTAAAATAGACTAAGTCCAAATAATTAAATTATAAATATGTGGTAAACGGGTTGTGACTTAGTATCGACTTTGTGGCTGTTCTGCTAGTGCTCGTCGTCTCGGCTGGTGTTCGTCTGATGGATGTATTGGAGGGTATACGCGGGTATACGTCGTATACCCGGATCCCTATTTTTGGATTTATGCGTATACCTTTACAAAAATCTTTTATGGGTCGCTTCCAATCTATGACAGAAAATTCAGTCATATTATCACCAAACAAAAGGTAAAAATAATAATAATAAACAAATTAATACAATAATATTTTATTATGACATTAAGTACACTGTCCAAAAAAAGCCCCGTACCCACACGAAGTTCGATTAAATTTTACCCGACTTCGGGTTTTTGAGAAGACGATCGGAAACTGCCTTTAAAATGATTTATAATAATATTAAAATTTTGATATGTTATTAGCATTTAGCATAGATTAATAGATAATATAGACTAATAAATACTGACAAACTGTATATTATTATCTAAAGTTAATTATTATTTAATTAGTATAATATACTATATTATGGAATTATGGAATATTATTCCATTATTTTACTGTACAATTTTTTTTAATTTTGATAGTAAAAAGTTTTATTCTTTATGATATTTATGCATTGAATTAATTAAAAAAAAATAATATATTAGATACTGATAATTGGTACATATTACACACAGTGGCGTATATAATTTCGTGGAGGGGTGAATATAGGGTGACCCACCCATATACACCACTGCATATACATATTACACACGAAAGGTTAGTGTTAGTAATAAAAAATTATCAAATATTAAGTGTAATGATTCAAAGAAGTCATATATAGGTATATTCAACTATTTTTAGGTGCGTATACCCATAAATGTATTTACCAATACACCACTGAATTTACCATGATATGCTCGACAACTGCTGTACAGCTTTCCAACTTTTTTTTAGTATAATATATATTATTGTGTAAAATAAAATAAATAAAAAACTTTTAAGATGTAATTTTGTTATTTAAGGCCATAAAGGGACTTAACGATTTAATGCAAGCTTTTATCTCATCTGCACGAGTAACCTGCAATTTCAATTTCAATTTATTTTCGTCATTAATCTAGGTATCTCAAAATCCTTGTGTCCTGGTCCTCACCTTACCCGGAAACGTTTTCAGTTTTTCTTTTTGTATATTATACTTTATTCAGACAAATGCAAAAAAAAATGAGGTAAACCGGTACAGCCATTTTCGTGACCAACAAACAGCATTTAATTTTAAATCATAAATATTTTGTAATGATATTTAAACAATTGTAGACCTGAGACATTGGGTCATCCTAACATTCTTGTATACATAATCAAATTTAAAAAGTGGGTAAGTGGATGTCGCTCGGCTGTATAGTAGGTTACCAGTGGGGGTCACTGTAATTGATGGTGATTTTATTGATATTTATAGAAAAAAAAACTAAAAAAATTAAAAACTGACAATGTCCGCAAACAGCTTAAAAAGAGTCAAAATATTTTCAACATTTTATGATGTATAAAAAATAAAAATATAAACATTCAGTAAAATTTTCATGTATCTACAGTTGTTCGTTCTTGAATAACAATAAAATAACAAAACCGCTACATTAGAAATCGATATTGAATATCCAATCTTGTAAAAATCTGAAGTTCAAACGTTCATAACAATTTAATTTGATTTGCTTGTGGACATTTTTTTTTTGATAAAGGTAGACAAACTTATGAATAATCTATTTTCAAATCTTAGATTTAAAAAAAAAAAATTTATGAATTCTCAACTCAAAATAATTTGCTAATTTTTGTCATTTTTACGTATCTATTTTGTCAATATTTGAACTTTAAATGCTAATAAAAAAATTTGTGACTGGATTTTTAATTTTTTATATCTGCCTTTGAAACAATATACTAGGAGCCTTCTATTAAATGTTCAAGCTTTTTTACCCAACAAATAAAATTGTATTGGTAATTATATTTTATACATAATGAATTACTTGTATTGCTTAGTGGATAATGGTTACGACGACAAGTTTAGTAAGTACAAAATTCCTGTCAATATTGTATCTAAATATAAAATTTTAATAAGCTAATAAAGTAACAATAAATAGCTATAACATACACTTTATCCAAAATTTTTCGATACCGATCCTATACCGAAGCTAATGCTTATTGTTTCAGCATACGTGAGCAGTTATATAAGATATTGTAGAAGATGTATGTAATATTTATTAAACTGATTACAATACATAAATCTGGCACTTAAATATTTAATAAAATATTTTTTAATACATTAAGGCTATTGAAAACGGTCCGTTTTTAGTAATTTTTTCATGCATTTATACCAAGAAGCAGAAAAAAAATTACATATAGGTATACCTACCGCAAGTATACTTCCAGAAGTCAAATTTTAATTCTTAAAAAATATTTGAATTGCTCATTCTCTTTTCTAGGTTGTATAAGAAACTGATTTTGATTTTTTTTTCTCTAACATTAAAGTAAATGTGAGTTTTGAAAAAAAAATAAAATTAATTTGATACTAAATACTAATTAAACAATACAAAAATTCAAAAATCCATTTCAGCCATAACCTAGAAAAGAGAATAAGCAATTCAAAATATGTTTACCACGATTTAAGATAGTCTTACACATAGTCATTACTCATTACACACGCAGTCACACATCACTCAAGAAGGATTAGAATATTGTCTAAATCCAACCCCTTAAAATTGGATCACTTTCAACAGCCTTAAAAGCAGGGTCTTGGACCCGAATTAACCAGAACCCATAACACTACTAAAAACCCTTAAAAAATTAAACACCCGAAACCCATAAACACAATTAATCAAAACCCAAATAACATGAACACCAGTATTAATAACCTATATTATCCCAAACATCAACCCGAACGTTTGTTAAACTTTTTTATTCCGGTGTTTGAACACCTGAATACATCCAGCACCCGAAACCCGAATAAATGATTTGGGTGCTAAGCCCTGCTTAAAATACGCACTAAGTAGTAAGTACCAATAATTGGTACAATAATTAAATTCAAGCTAAAAAATAAAATTAATTGATGTTAAATTGTAGTTTTATATATTTTTTTTTTTTTTTTAGACTCATATACGAGGCCAACAGTTTTTTGTGCTACAAAAATATAATATACTTACATAAAAAATATTTATTTTTTTATTACATTCTTGTCATGTACCTACTTTTAATTATGATAAATAAATTGGTACTTTATTAGATAAGATGGTTCTATATTGTTATGATTTATAAGTAGTATATAATTTGTACCATTCCTTTTCATAAAACTTTATATTATTAATAATTAAAAATCGAAGTAAAAAGTAACATAACCTATATACAAATAAATCCGTTTGTATAGTGCAACCACATACACTACAGATCCTCCCCACTAAGCAAGGAACCATATACATCAATCAATACAACATTTATCTTAATCCTAAATACAAATTAACTTTTATGCTCCTTTCTACTAAGCATTGGAGACATTTACAAACCAAAACAATACAACATTATTTATTTTTTAATTTTTTAATAATAATAATAATAATAACTTCTCATAAGTACATAACAAAAAAAATACAATAGAACTTTTAAGTTCCTAAACATTAAAACAATATAATACAACATTTATAAATTTAAACGATTAGGAATTTTTTTAATCCTCTCACTCCTCCATAACTTTGGAACATCCTGCTGTTCAGTCACAAGGCTATCTTCAACTCCACTTTCTTCTCTCACTACCTCCTTAACAGGCAATGATGGTAATTGAACTTTAGGCCCCAAAACAGAGTTTGTTAATGTTTTAATACAAGGGTTTGTTTCAGCAACACTAGTTTCCAATAACTGATTAATATGTCTTTTCCAAATCTCACCCCTACACACTGTACCATATAAGTTACAGGCGATAATATTTGAATAATAGTACCCCTTATCCACTTAGCCCCACTAGCATAATTCCGGCACATCACATCATCACCCATTTCAAACATTTTAACTCTACCCCCTTTATAAACTCTCTTAGCTGCCAAAATACTATTATTATATCTATATTTAGCTCTCGGCACCAATCTGTCAAAAGATGTGAATAACTTCCTACCAATATGTAATTCGGCTGGTGTTACACCTGTAGCATAATGCTTGGTACTATTATAAGATAACATAAATCTAGAAATTTCTGTGTCTATGTCTGACTTCATACCACTCTTCTTTAAAAAATTCTTAAAAGTTCTAACCAAATTTTCAGCAGCCCCATTAGACACAGGATTGTATGGAGGTGTTTTCACATGGAACACTTCATTCTTAGCTAAAAACTCTTCCATAACTTCTGACACTAATGAAGGACCATTATCTGCTACCAGCTTAGCAGGTAAGCCCCACAGGGAAAAATACTCCCGTAAAATCTTAATTGTTAATTCTGTAGTGATATTATGCATGAACCTAACATGAACCCATTTGGAATGTGCATCGATAATTACCACAAACATCTTGCCATTAATAGGCCCTAAAATATCCAAATGGATCCGTTGAGCTGGTCCCCCGTGGCCAATTGTGTAATATTGACTTTGGCGGATTATCGCTGTATTCAACACACCCACTACATTCTTTAGTGATTAAATCAATTTCTTTGTCAATATTTGGCCACCACATATGTGACCTCGCTATCGCTTTCATTTTAACCGTACCTAAATGAGAACTATGTAATTCCATCAACAAAACCTCCCGAAACTTTAATGGAATAACCAGCCTATGTCCCCAAAGTAACAAACCTTGCTCGATAGCAAGCTCATTCCTCCTATTAAAATAAGGCTTAATATCCTCCGACAGTTCTTTACTGGAATTAGGCCACTTTCCCGACATCACCAACAAAAAAACTTTTTTTAATACCTTGTTCCTCTGAATTTCCTCACAAATATCTAAATCAGCAATTCCCTGAACATTCATGGTTATTAAATTAATAAAAAAATTACTACAAAACACATGGTTGATCATATCAGCTCCCTCAATTGGTAATCGGGATAAGGCATCCGCAATGCCATTGTCAACTCCCTTCACAAATTCAATAGTATAAGAATAACCAGCGAGAAAAATTGCATATCTCTGCAGTCTATGGGCTGCCATGACCGGAATCCCTTTTTTTTTCTCCAAAAATTTGATATTAAAGGTTTATGATCCATTTTTAGAATGAAAGGTCTGCCATACAAATACTGATGAAAATATTTGACACCAAAAACCAAAGCCAAAGCCTCCTTATCCAGATGTGAATACCCCTGCTCGCTTTTGTTGAAATATACAATTAATATTAGTATTCAAACCATGTAAACACACGTGCGTGTACAATGTCGTTTTCTAATAGATACTTATGCAGTTACGATATAGCTGTGTAACACCTTTATTATCGCTTTCTATATTATATACGGATACGGGATGGCCTCGATTGTTCATATAAATAGGGCCTTTGATGTATGTAATAATCACTTGCACAGACGCTGTCATACCGAGTGTACGCGGTGTGTGTGTATAGTCACAGTTTAATTGTCCAGTTGTACGTTATTATATATTATACTTATACATAATCATATTGTCGTGTTATTACTTATTATATTAATGCTAACATCATTAGTCCGTCAAGCTTCACTTTCAACAGGTTATGGGCCCAGTCAATAACCAAGACATACAGTCTAGTGGATTCGTGATCAAAGTATTTTTATATTTGTATTAACGCAGAAAACTACAACCAGTCGGAGATATCCTGGATTTCGGAAAACGGCGGAACAGTGTACATAGGTAAAGTTTTGTTATAAATTGTTATACAGGTCAAGTATACGGGAAATCATCGGTCATGGAAGACACGGTGAAGATAACAAAATTATGTGCGGAAAACTGTTCGTTATGGAAGTTCCAGATGAAGGTCATTCTAAATGCCTTGGAAGTAGGTGAGATAGTTTCAGGTGAATGGACGAAACCAAGTCTACCTATAAAAAAGTCGGCAGGAGAGACCGACGAGGATGCCAAAGCACGTTGGCAAAGGCAGACAAACGCTTGGCAAAAAGCGGACGGTAAATGTAAGAAAATAATAGTTACCTCAGTGGACGATGGTCCATTACAATATTTGATTAACTGTGAGACTGCATTGGAAATGTGGGAGAAACTGCTGAGTATTTACGAGCAGAAGTCTGAGGCAAGTATACATTTGCTTCAACAACAATTTTTCAGTTATTCAAAGGAGTCGACAGATGACATGTCGACGCATATTTCTAAATTGGTCAATTTAGGAAGGAAACTGAGAGTAGCGGGTGAACCAGTTACGGATAACATGGTTATGACAAAATACTAATGACATTACCAAAAGAATATAATCATTTTTACAGTGCTTGGGATTCAGTCCCAACGGGAAGTAAAAATATAAATAATTTAACTAGTCGGTTGTTGATTGAAGAATCACTAGTTATCCAGATCAAAGGTGAAGTTGGTGAACAAGAGAAATCGAGTGCATTTCCAGCCAAATTTCAAAACAGATCCGATGGAAAAAAACGGCAGTTATGGTAAAGGTAAAAAACAATTTACTAATAAAAGTAATGTTAAATGTTATTACTGTGGTAAAATTGGTCATTATAAAAGAAACTGTAAGAATTTTCTAAGTAGTATGAAAGGTGGGAAAACCGGTACTACAGGTACAAATTTAAATGCATTTGTAAGCGAGTCAAGGATAAATGAAATTACAACAGATACGTGGGTTTTAGACTCAGGCGCGTCGGATCACATGAGCGCGAACCTAGAATGGTTTACAAGTTATGAACCATTGAAATATACACAACAGGTAACAATAGGTGACGGAACAAATCTATATGCAACAGGAAAAGGTAATATTAATATATTATCATACGTGAACGGTAATTGGAATAAAAATTACTTGCAAATGTATTGCACGTGCCGGGATTAAAATTTAATTTATTCTCGTGCGGGTCAGCGTTAGACAAAGGTTTAGAACTAACGTCAGACAATAAAACGTGTGTGTTCAAAAGAAACGGGATTCCTGTATGCATAGGCACAAGATGCGGTAGGTTGTTTGAATTACAGATCAAAGTTGAAGCACCATCGAAAGCTGAATGTTTTGCGAACATTGCAGTAGAAAAACGATTAGAAGTATGGCATAAGCGTTTAGCTCACCAGAATATTCAATACGTGAGGAATTGTTTGGCAAAACATAATATTGATTATTCAGCCAAGGACGATCAATTTGTATGCAGCGACTGCATAATCGGGAAACAACACCGTCAATCGTTCAGTAAAAGTGAGACCGAATATTTTAACGTCGGCGATTTAATACATGCAGATTTATGTGGACCGATGCAGAGGGACTCTATCGGTATGTCAAAATATTTTTTACTATTTAGAGATAACTACTCACGTTACAGAACGGTATATTTTATTAAGAATAAATATGAAGTAAAAAATATTATGGAAACATTTATAAAAAGTGTTAAAACAGAAACAGGATCTAAAGTCAAAATATTAAGGACAGATAATGGGTTAGAATTTGTAAACAAGGATATTACAGGTATTCTACAGAAATATGGCATACGACACCAAACTACGGTAGCATATACGCCGGAACAGAACGGGAAAGTCGAGCGTGATAACAGAACAATCGTAGAAGCTGCCAGGACAATGATATGTGCGAAAAACCTTGACGTGTCATTATGGGCAGAAGCTGTGAACACAGCGGTTTATACACTTAATCTAACCGGAACGAGTTCACAGATTGGTAAGCCACCTTACGAGTTATATTATAAAGTCGTGCCAGATATTAAACATTTACGAGTTTTTGGTACTGCGGTATATACACACATACCAAAGCAAAAACGTCAGAAATGGGATCCAAAAAGTGAAAAAGGAATATTTGTTGGATATTCGAACAGCACGAAAGGTTATCGTGTATGGTATTCGAAAACAAATAAAATATCCGTGTGCAGAGACATTATATTCGAAGACGAATGTAATAATTATGAAAATATAATTGCAGACACATTAGAGTTTACAGACACTCAAATTAATTCAACGGGCGTGCGTGAGAAGGACGAAAACATAGTCGATGATAGAAATGTTATGGTTCTACGTGACAGGAATACACTTAAGAAGCCGGACAGGTATAATGTTCAGACTTTTATTGCTAACTGTGTCAGTCCATTGAATTATGATGAGGCAATTACTGGGTCAAACAAAAATGAATGGAATAATGCTATGAACGACGAAATTAATTCATTACACGAAAATCAGACTTGGACTCTAGTCGATTTGCCACAGGATAAAGTTGCATTACGAAATGCATGGGTGTTCAAAACCAAATATAAAATTGACGGTAGTATGGATAAATTTAAGGCCAGATTGGTCATTAAGGGTTGTTCACAGAAATATGGTATAGATTACCATGAAACATTTTCGCCAGTGGTCAGATACGAATCAATAAGGGCGATATTCGCAGTAGCAGCTGTGGAAAAATTAATACTACGACAATTCGACATCAAGACAGCATTTCTGTACGGGGAACTACAGGAAGAAATATACATGGTACAACCACCAGGTTACGAAGATGGCTCAAATCAAGTATGTAAGCTTCAGCGAAGTTTGTATGGCTTAAAACAAAGTCCAAGATGTTGGAATATACGCTTTAAGAACTTTTTGAATGCATTTGGTTTACAATGTACCGAAGCGGATGCATGTGTATTCAAAGCTGATAATAGCCAAATTATTCTTGCAATATTTGTTGACGATGGTTTAATCGCGGCAGATAATGAAGAAATAATAGAGAAACTTGGAGAAAGAGTTTGAGGTTAAAAAGGGAAACTTAGATTATTTTCTAGGTATGCAGGTAAACTTAATGAAAAATGGTTCATTATTTGTGCATCAGACAAATTATACATGTAGCATAATTAATAAATTTAATATGCTGGACGCCAAGGAACTTTCAATTCCGATAGACAAATCACATACTATTGAACAAAAGGAAGAATCGGAGATATTAAGTGAAGAAATACCTTAAAGGCAGGCAGTAGGTAGCTTACTGTTTTTATCACAGGTAACGAGACCAGATATAGCATATGCAGTAAACTTTGCTAGTCGTTACTTAGCAAAACCAACTAAAGCTCATTGGAACTTGGTAAAACGGATTATACGATATGTCAAACGAACATTTAATTATGGCTTGTATTTTAATCATAATACACAATTGTCATTAGAAATATTTAGCGATTCAGATTACGCAGGTGACGTTCAGACACGACGTTCAACGTCAGGATTTCTATTCAGATACGGGTCGAGCATAATTTCATGGACATCGCAGAGACAACATTGTGTGTCATTGTCATCGACCGAGGCTGAATATATTTCGGCCAGTGAAGCTGTAAAAGGGATCATGTGGATTACGCGGTTGATAATAAGCTTATCAAAAACAGATGATAAACAACCGGTATTATTCATTGATAATCAGAGTGCTATTCATTTAGTTAAGAATCCGGAGTTTCATAAGAGGACAAAACACATAGACGTACGATATCATTTCATACGGGAGAAATACGAAGAAGGACAGTTCCAACTACAGTACATTGGAACAGAGGACCAGATTGCGGACATTCTAACCAAGCCTTTGGTTAAGGAACGATTCGAGAAGTTGCGGTCAGCCATAGGAGTGACTACAATTAAAGAAATTATTAATTGAGGGAGGGTGTTGAAATATACAATTAATATTAGTATTCAAACCATGTAAACACACGTGCGTGTACAATGTCGTTTTCTAATAGATACTTATGCAGTTACGATATAGCTGTGTAACACCTTTACTATCGCTTTCTATATTATATACGGATACGGGATGGCCTCGATTGTTCATATAAATAGGGCCTTTGATGTATGTAATAATCACTTGCACAGACGCTGTCATACCGAGTGTACGCGGTGTGTGTGTATAGTCACAGTTTAATTGTCCAGTTGTACGTTATTATATATTATACTTATACATAATCATATTGTCGTGTTATTACTTATTATATTAATGCTAACATCATTAGTCTGTCAAGCTTCACTTTCAACAGCTTTTACTAAGCGTCCTTGATGCAAATGCA